TCAGATCTATACCCAGAAGTGGGATCGCTGGATCGTAGGGTAGTTCTACTTTTAATATTTTGAGGAGCGTCCATACTGTTTTCCCTCCTGGCTGCACCAGTTTCCATCCTCACCCGCAGTGCACCAAGGCTCCCCTTCCCCACTTCCTCCTCAACACTTGTCTCTTGTCTTTGTGATGACAGCCATGCTAACGGATATGAGGCGGTATCACCTTGTGGTTTGGATTTGCGTTTCCCTGGTGGTGAGTGATGTTGGGCACCTTTTCATCTCCCTGTTGGCCATTCATGTATCTTCTTCGGGAAGATGTCTGTTCAGGTCCTTAGCCCATTTTTTCATTGGATTGTTTCCTGTTTTGGCTATTGAGTTGTATCAGCTCTTTATATATTTGGGATCCCATTCTGTAGATTGCCTTTCCGCTTCATGGATGGTTTCCTTTGCTTTTCATAAGCTCTTTGGTTTTATATCGTCCCACTTGTTTGTTTTAGCTTTTGTTGCCTGTGCTTTTGGTATCTTATATAAGAAATCATTGCCAAGACTAACGTTAAGACTAACATCAATGTTTTCTTCTAGAAGTTTTATGAGTTGAGGTCTTACGTGTAAGTCTTTGATCCATTTTGAGTTAAATGTTATGAGTGATATAAGACAGGGGTCTGGTTTCATACTTTTGCATGTGGATATCCAGTTTTCCCAATACCACTTATTGAAGAGACTTATTTTTCACCTCTGTGTGTTCTTGGTACGCTTGTCCAAAAAATTAGTCGACCACGTATGGGTGAGGCCCATTCTAACCCAGTATGACCTCATCTAAACTTAATCACATCTGCAAAGACCCTGTTTCGAAATAAGTTCATATTTACAGGTTCCAAGGATTAGGACTTGAGTATGTTTTGGAGGAGTGGGAACACAATTCAATCCACAACAAAGGGCATCCAGGCCACCAAAAAATGGTATCAGGGCATATGAATCTTCTGGGACTTAGTTTCTTCATGTAATAGTATGTAGCTAGGATTGACCCATAATAGTTCACTTGTTTTAGCTGTTCTGTCCTAGTCCACCAGGTCACTGGACCCCTGATCCATCACCTCTCCTGCGGATGGCCTTTTGGGCCGTGTCCCATTTGGGTCGTGTCCCACTTGGTTTTTGTGGGTTTTTAAAAAAAATTTTTTTTGATGTTTATTTATTTTTGAGAGAGAGGGGGAGACAGCACCAGCGGGCGAGGGGCAGAGAGAGAGGGAGACACAGAATCCGAAACAGGCTCTGGGCTCCGAGCTGTCAACACAGAGCCCGACGTGGGGCTCAAACCCACGAGCCGTGAGATCATGACCCGAGTCAAAGTTGGACACCTAACTGACTGAGCCACCCAGGTGTCCCTCAAGTGGTTGTACTAATTACATTCCTACCCTCAGCATGTGCCACCCATGTCTTTTCTGACACTTGGTATTTTTAGATTTGAAAATGTTTGCCAATTGAGTATAAAATTATTTCCAGTTGAGATCTTGATCTGTATTTCCTTGATCACTAATGATATGAAGCATCCTTCTCAACCCTACGGACTAAAACATCTTCACATATACTTTCTACTAAGGTTCTGCAGCTTTGTTTTAGACATTTGAGTTCATAATCTGTCATCCTTCCCAACACTGAGTTCTAAAGGAGATTTACCTATAATTTCTATTAAAGACTTTTAAGAGTTTTTTGTTGATCGTTGGCATTAAGTCTTCAATCTAGAGTTGAGCTTTGTATACATGGTACGAGGTAGGGATTAGTCGTATAATCTCAGGGGCCTTTGTAGGGTAGCAGGTGTATTTGGGGAACAGTGGGACAGGACATTCGACTGGAACTCTGGAGTGTACTGGAAATTGCTCACCGGATTTTCTCAAAATCTGCTTTTTCAAGTTCTGCTTCTCGCATGGACTGTCGCCTGTGAAATCTTAAGCTTCATGTCTGTGAGCCTCAGTTTCCTCATCTGTACGACAGTGGATACTGCCCTGGGTATGGAGATTATATGAGTTAAAATATGCAGAATGCTCCCCACGTTGCCTGGTACACAGCATAAGGACACTGACTAGCATTTATTGAGCACTTACTGTGTGCCAGGTCACTTGCCGAGTACTTGATATGTGCTATTAAGTCGGTGGGCCCCTGGCAACTCCATGAAATAGATGTTATTCCTTACCATTTACAGATAAGGAAACTGAGTCTCAGTGGGGGTGAGTAAATCCCCTGAGGGCACACAGCTAGCATGCAGTAGAGGACTCGGACCCTAGCAGTCTTGCTGTAGACCCCCTCATCCATCACCACGACCCATCAAAGCCATTTTCCTTCCTTTCCTCCGTAATCCAGAGTCCAACCCCTGGGCCTGGGGAGCGGAATGGCTGCCTCTCCAGGAGGAAGCGTCTGAAGGTTGAAATGGAGGAGCGGTAGGCAGTGAGGTGGACCCCCCTCCCCCGATTCCCCTGGGGCCCCTGCCTTTGACTCTGAACTCATGAGAGGCTGTTGGGGAAGTCCATCCAGCCTCTCCCTCCACAGGCCATAGACCAGATGAATCACGGGCCATAATGTTCCCCCAGGGTCATCCATTATTCACAGCTGCCATCCTGGGCCTGGGGTGGCTTTGGGGTCAGGCAGGAATTACTCCCAAGGCCCGGCTCCCCGAGGCTTTTATCCACAGCTGAGCCTGAGCACACAGCCCCCTTGTGTACATCAGAGGGCTGGGGGCTTCCCACCGAGAGAACACGGAGACTCCAGCACGTGCTGTAGGCCTGTGGCCGCCAGTAGACAAGGGGCTCGGAGCTGCCTTTGAACCCAGCTTTGTCACTTTCCAGTTACTGATCGCTGGAGGTGCTGTTACTACATTTGCTCCTCCAGGGACGGTGTCCCAGCCCCGTTTAGAGTATAAAGGCAGAGTGACCCTCAGGGAGTTGCAGCCTGCTGCAGGAGACAGACCCCTGATGTGCTGCATGCAAAAAAGGGCTTCTAATCAGCCAACACGTCCCCCCGAAGAAGCTGGTTCAAGGGAATGATTCATGAAACGGCTGTTTATTCAACACCTACTATGTGCCCCATAAGCTTCTGTGGTGACCACCAGTCATGTCCCCACCTCCGTGGCCCTTACAGTCCAGTGCCCCAGGAAACACGGGGCCCTGCTAGGGGAGACTTCCTGGGGCCAGTCCGCGGCCACGCTGGGACATGGGCTGGGGGCAGAGGGCTCCCAGGTCTGCGCATGTGTGGGGTAGGGACTCATGAACACCCATCCCTGAAACTACAAAGCCCATGTCCCCCACACCTGCCTGTTGGAAGACTCTGCCTGAGGGGCCGGAGTAAGAGTGGAGTCCCCCGGAACCACTCAGACCTGAGATTGTCTTTTGGCGTGTATGAGTTTACCATTGCACAACAAACTCCCCAACCCTTAGCAGGCATGTTTTTTCTTGGAGGTTCTATGGGTCAGGTATTCCCGAGTGGCTCAGCTGGTTGGTTCCGGCTCAGAGTCCCTCATGAGGCTGCGAACAAGAGGCCATCCAGAGCTGCAGTCACATGAAGGCTTCACGGTCGGAGAACCCACCTCCACGCGGCTCTCACTCACCTGGCTGTAGGCAGGAGGCCTCCGTTCTTCACGGAGAGGGCTTCTCCACAGGGCTTCTTGAGTGGCCTTGCAATATGGCGACCAGCTTCCCCAGCCTGAGTGATTCCAGGTAGGGAGCAAGCAGCATGCTCGTCACGGAGTCACCCCCCGTCACTCCTACCATATTCTGTTCCCTAGAAGTGGTCACTAAGTCCAGCTCCCAGCTCCACTTTTTGAGGGAAGGGGTGTCAAGGAATTTATTTGAAAATCCCCCGTGGAATGTACTTGAAAATCCCCACACTGGGTGACCTCGGGGAAGTCCCTTCTGTGTCAGCCTCATTCTTGTCATCTGTGAGACGGGGGTAATGAGCCATCACACCTGCCTCGCAATTGCCGTGGTGACAATGAGACAAGAAGATACAAGTGCAGGGCTTGTCATGTGAGAGACACCCCAATAAACCCCAGTCATTGAGAACACTGTGAGTATTTAAAGGGACTTACCCAGGGTTAGCCCCCATTCTCTTTGCCCAGTGGGTCTCAACCCTGCCTGGCTGCACAGGAGGATCACACACAGAGTTTTAAAAATAGAAACACCCATTTGGGCACCTGGGTGGCTCAGTTGGTTGAGTGACCGACTTCGGCTCAGGTCATGATCTCGCGGTTTGTGAGTTCCAGCCCCGCATCAGGCTCTGTGCTGACAGCTCAGAGCCTGGAGCCTGCTTCAGATTCTGTGTCTCCCCCTCTCTCTACCCCTCCCCTGCTCACGCTCTGTGTCTCTCTGTGTGCCAATAATAAATAAACGTTAAAAAGAAATAGAAACCCATCTCTGAAACTCCCACCCCATTTTCTGATTCAGTAGGTCTTGAATGGGGCCTCTAAGTCCCCATCTTTTTTAAAGCATCCCAAGTAATTGTTATTCGCCACCAGGGCTGAAATCAGTGGCCTGACCTGGGAATTCTTAAGTCACCCACCAACAGATAAAATGTAAGGAAGAAATTAAAACCGAAGGAAGGGAGGTCCCTATAATTCAGTACTTCTCAAAGCATGGTCCTCTGCGTCACCTGGGAACTTGTTAGAAATGCACATTCTGGGGCTCCTTGGGAGGCTCAGTCGGTTAAGTGTCTGACTCTTGATTTCAGCTCCGGTCATGATCTCATGGTTCATGTGTGCTAACAGCACAGAGCCTGCTTGGGATTCTCTCTCCTTCTCTCTCCCTCGCTTGATAGATAGATAGATAGATAGATAGATAGATAGATAGATAGATAGATAGGGAAAAAAAAAGAAATCCACATTCTTGGGCCCCACCCAAGCCTACTGAGTCAGGAGCCCCATCAAGCTGTGTTTCAGCAGCTTCTCCAGGTGCACAAGCCAGAGACCCACGACTCACTGCTCGCACTGTCTCTCTCTCTCTCTCCTTTGCTCCCTTTGGTGAAACAAGTTGCCACGCTGGAGGGGACCAAACGGCAAGGAACCGAATGCTGCCAACATCTAGTGAGTGAGTTTAGACGCAAATCCTTCCCCAGCCAGCCTGCGAATGAGACCACAGCCCAGGCCGACAGCCTGTGAGAGACCCTGAGCTGGAGGAGGCCACGCCCAGACTCCTGCCCCACAACAACCGTGAGATAACTTTTGCTGTTTTAACCCGCTAAGCTATGGGGCCATTTGTTGTGCAACAGATAGATAACTGATAGCAGGGGGGATACTGGCAGGACCGAAGGAACTGCAGGAGTAATCTAGAATCTGTGTTAAAGGAGATTTGAGAAAAGTTCAAGGCGTAGACCTTGTTTGGATCCCGATTTGAACACACTCATTTGAACAACATATTGTGTTTTTTTCATTGATATTTGGGGAAATGTGAATACCACAGGGATCTTGGATGATATTAGGGTATTATTGTTCTCTTTTATTTGGTATAATAATACCACAGTGGTGTTATTATTTGGTATAATAATACCACAGTCGGAGATAAGCTTTCAGATAATCAGGTGGAGGGGTGCCTGGGTGGCTCAGTCGGTTGAGTGCCCGACTCTCGGTTTCAGCTCAGGTCGTGATCTTACGGTTTTGAGTTCAAGCCCCATGTCGGGCTCCGTGCTGACAGAGCGGAGCCTGCTTGGGATCCTCTCTCTCTCCCTCTCTCTCTGTCCTCCTGTCCTGCTCGCACGCTCTCAAAATAAATAAATAAACGTCAACAACTAAAATCATCAGGTGGAGGGATGCCTGGTTGGCTCTGTCCGAAGAGCGTGCAGCTCAGGATCTTGGGGGCGTGAGTTTGAGCCCCACCTGGGATGTAGAGATTACTTAAATAAATACAAAACTTAAAAAAAAATCAGGTGGAGAGGGGGTGTATATGTCAAACAAAATGATTGGCCACGAGTTGACGGTTGTTGAGGGTAAGTGTGGTGTTTAGAGGCTCCCTTTCTATTTCCTATGCCTTTGCCAATGTTTGAAATTTTCCATAATAAGAAATTTTTTTTATTTTTTAACGGTGTGAGCCGAATGTGCCCATTTTACAGATGGACAAAGCAAACCCCAGAAGCAGACAGGAGGATTGGAGGGAGTTTGGGATGGGTGGTACTTAGGTCATTGACCCTGAGGGCTATACCTGGGCCCCACCTGTGTTTTGTTCATCCTGGGGAAGGGGCTTGTGCACGGACTCTGGGGTCTGCTTCCCCCCCTGAGGCTGGGTGTGGGGAGGGATGCCCCTGCCCTCTGAATCACAACTTTCTGGCACTCCATCCGAAGCACCTGCTGGCTGGCTATTATGTCTATACCCATGAGGGGCATCTTTTAAGTGCATGAGTGTTAATGTCACTTATGTTGTAATATATTAAGTCATCGCAAGGAGTATATTATCATGTTTTAATTTAGATCTTTTTTTTTTTTTTAACAAGATACTTAACCAAAGGGACGAGCCAGGCTCCCTCCCTTCTGACCTCCAGTCATTTCCCAAAGCCAGCGATCTCATTCATTCATCCATCAGATGTTTGTTGAGTGCCTACTATGTTCCAGACACCGTGCTAGGCTGTGAGGTCCGATAGGAATATGATAACGAGCCTCAAATGAGAGCCGCAGGTGAAATTTTAACTTTTCAAGGAGGTGCGTTTGAAAAAAAAAAAAGTAGAAAGAAACCGGTGAAATTAATTTTTATAATATGTTTCTTTAGTTTGCTATATCCAAACCCAGGACGTGGAACCAATTTAAGAGTTATTAATGAGATAGCTTACATTGTTTTCTCATCCTGGACTAGCCTGCTGGGGCTGCGTAACAAAGTCCCACAGGCTGGGTGGCTTACAGACCTGAAATGTACTTGCTCGCAGCTCTGGAGGCGGGAAGTTCAAGACCAAAGCACGGGAGGAACTGGTTTGTCCTGAGGCTTCTCTCCTTGGCTTGTAGATGGTCTTTTTCTGGCCGAGGCCTTACGTTGTGTTGTCTCTGTGCCTGTGTCTCTGTTTTCTAATCTCCTCTTATAAGGACGCCAGTCACATCATATTAGGGCCCCTCTTAACTGCCTCATTTTACCTTCATCACCTCTTTAAAGGCCCTGTCTCCACATACAGTCACATTCAGGTGCGCCTGGGTGGCTCAGTCCGTTAAGTGCCTGACTTTGGCTCAGGTCGTGATCTCACAGTTCGTGAGTTCAAGCCCCGCGTCGGGCTCTGTGCTGACAGCTCTGAGCCTGCTTCAGGTTCTGTGTCTCCCTCTCTCTCCGCCCCTCTCCCGCTTGTGCTCGCGCGCTCTCTCTCTCTCTGTCAAAAATAAATAAACATTAAAAAAATTCAAATACAGGGGCGCCTGGGTGGCGCAGTTGGTTAAGCGTCCGACTTCAGCCAGGTCACGATCTCGCGGTCCGTGAGTTCGAGCCCCGCGTCAGGCTCTGGGCTGATGGCTCAGAGCCTGGAGCCTGTTTCCGATTCTGTGTCTCCCTCTCTCTCTGCCCCTCCCCCGTTCATGCTCTGTCTCTCTCTGTCCCAAAAATAAATAAACGTTGAAAAAAAAATTAAAAAAAAAAAATTCAAATACAGTCACTTTCTGAGCAAGTGAGCATTAGGGCTTGAGCATATGAGTTTTGGAGGGAGACACAGTTGAGTCATAGCACACACGGAGCCTTCAAAACCCAGTGTGTATTTGACTCATGTCACATCTCTGTCCCAAGGAGCCCCATTGCAAGTGCTCAGTCGTCGCCTGTGCCTGCTGGTTACCCCCTGGGACAGCACCACTCTGGCTCAGGGGTCACAGCGGCCAACATGGCGGACAAACACCCCTGCCCTCATGGGGCTCTTCTCTGGAAGAGACAGACGACAAATAAGGAGGTAAAATGTATAGTATGCCATGTACGTTCTAGGGAGAGTGACAAGAGAGAGAAAAGCGTGAGGGGTGGGGATCCAGGGGTACATTTTATGTCACCTGTGCACCCTTCTAGACATACCCTGTGTGAACACAGGAGACAGATGGATGGGTGGATGGACAGATTAGATATGTCCCCATTCTTTTGGTATATATATTTTACGTTTATTTATTTTGAGAGAGACAGAGAGAGAACACGAGTTGGGGATGGGCAGCTAAAGAGGGAGAGAGAGAATCCAAAGCAGGCCCCATGCTGTCGGCACAGAGCCCTACATGGGGCTCGAACTCACATACAGCATGATCATGACCTGAGCCGAACCAAGAGGCAGATCCTTAACCAGCTGAGCTGCCCGGCCTCCCCTGCTCCTTTTTATTTATTTATCTTTTTGAGACATAATCAGCATATTAACTTCAGGTATACAACATAATAATTCGATATTTGCATATATTGCAAAAAGATCACCACAGTAAGTGGCCTTAATATCGGTCACCGCACAGAGTTACAGAGGTGCTTTTCTTGTGATGAGAACGTTTAAGATCTACTCTCTCAGCAACTTTCACGTACACAATACAGTAATATTAACTGTCGTCGCCACGCTGTATGCGACAGTATGCGACTGACTTCTCTTGTAACTGGGGATTTGAACCTTTTGACCGCCTTCACCATGTCCACCCCCGGCCCCATCCCTCGCCCTGGTGCCTGACCACCACCAACCTGTTCTCTTTCCATGATGCGGCTTTTTCAGATTCCGCATGTAAATGAGATCACACAACATTTAACTTTCTGTCCGACTGATTTCGCTTTGCGGGAAGCCCTCAGAGTTCCATCCACGCTGTTGAAAATGGCAGCATTTCCTTCTCTCTTTATGGCCGGATGGGATTCCGCTGTATACGTATCCACCGTATTTTCTTTATCCATTCATCCATCGATGGACACGTAGGTCGTTTCCATGTCTTGGCTGTTGGAAATAGTGCTGCAGTGAATCCATATCGTTTAGCGACGGTGATGTCATTTCCTGGATCTATACCCAGAAGTGGAATTACTGATCATATGGTAGTTCTATTTTTATTTATTTACTTTTTGAGAACTGCACCAATTTACATTCCCACCAGCAGCGCGCAAGGGTTCCTTCCCTTTTCTCCGCATCTTCGCCGACACCGGTTTCCTCTTTGGTTTGTTTTTTGGTTTTTAATTTCTTTTATTAGTTTTTTTTATTTTTGAGAGGCAGAGAGAGACAGAGCGTGTGTGGGGGAAGGGCAGAGAGAGAGAGAGGAGACCCAGCATCCGAAGCAGGCTCCAGGCTCTGAGCTGTCAGCACAGAGCCCGACGCGGGGCTCGAACTCACGAACCGTGAGATCACGACCTGAGCCGAAGTTGGACGCCCAACCGACTGAGCCGCCCAGGCGCCCCTTGTTTGTTTGTTTTTTAATGGCCCTTGTACATGTGTGAGGTAGCACCTCGTCTTGGTTTTGATTTGCGTTTTCCTGGCGATCCGTGACACCGAGCCCCTTGTCACGTACCTTGTACACATACTTGGCAAGTACATTCACGTACTTGGCCGTCTGTATGTCTTCTTTGGAAAAATGTCTACTCGGATCCCCCTGCCCATTTTTAAATGAGATGTTTGTTTTCTGCTCTTGAGTTGCATGGATGAGATATCCCCGTTTTTAAAAATACAGATGGTGATCTTCTATGCATGCTGTTCTTTGCGCTTCTTACTTGAAAATATATCTCAGAACTCACTTCCCATCACCACACATGGATAGGCCTTATTCTGTTTGATTTCTTGATTTTAAAGAATAATTTGGAACATACGAAAACATGGTGCTGCCGAGCTAGAGAAACGGAACCTGGCGTTGGTTGAGCGCTGCCCCCCCCCCCCCCCCGATCGCCGGCCCAGTCATCCGATCGTCCTCACAACCCCGCAGTGTGGGTGCTGTTCCCAAAAGACAGTTCAGGTTCATGAGCAGCTTTTATAAACTGGTGGAAAATAAGAACTACTAACTTCGGGGAAATTTTAAGTCCCAGATGGCAATATTACTAGACGGTAGGGTCCGAGAGACCTCCCTGCCAAAGTTACCAGGATAATAGAATAGTCCTGTATAGTGATATCATATTTCATTAATATGGGGTCATTACAATTTAGCAATATAGTGACAAGAATATAACGTAATCAGGGAGAGCTGAGAAGGTACCCTGCAGGGATTGAGACCCTGTGCTTGGGGATGAGGCTGTGGTTGGGATACCGGGGCACAAGGACAGGACTCTGCCC